CTTACATATACCTATTCTACATAAAATAACTTTAATACCACTCTTATTTGAAAACCAAAACAAAACACAAACCCCACAGCCTTTGTTCCTAATGCATTTTTTGTACCTTCAATACACCTTTTGAAGGTTCGACAGATTTATAACCATTAACAACAAAAGTAGTAAGATACAGTTAACTCATCTCTTTCAGTAACAGAAAGAAGCTTGTCCTCTATTTACACACAGGATATCAAGAACAGAGAAAATATCTTCATTTTAATGACATTAAGACAAAGGGAAAAAATTGGCCAAGAAATGTTATAGAATTACATGAGAGAGCACTCACACATATTAAAAGCACACATCTGCATCTCCCCATGTGAGAGCTGCTATGCTGCAGAGCAACCAAAAGCACAAAGTAAGAGCCGTTACAGGGACAAGTCTGTTACCACAGGTTTTGACATTTGTAAAGAAATAAATGTGAAAGGAAGTGCCTGCCGTATCTTTCCGCAGGTGGTCCAAGTCATCAGCTACATGCCTCCAATTTCTCTTTGGCAGCAGAACAGGAGAAATTTAGATTAAAGAAGAATTTAGCAAGCAGGACCACACACAGCAACAGAAGCTTCAAGAACAGAGAAGATATAAGATAGCCTAGGTTTTCCCTTCACAACTGTCCTTTCTAAATGCTTTTTAATTTAAAAGTCAGTTTCACTATTATGAATTTAGAAAACATACATTTACTCCTTTGAGAGAAGATTGTTCCATATCCCTTCCATTTGCTTTATTAAACCTGTGCCTACGCTTCTCTCTACAATGACAATTATTGTTTTGTTTAAAAGCAAGGTCAAGATGTTCATTCTTTACTTGCAAAGTATTCTGAAACACCACTTTTAACACTGCTTAGTCCAACAACAAATTACTACAGAGTAAAGGAAGCACTTACCTGAATTAGAATCTGGAAAAGACAAATAGCAAATATTGGTTTTCTAAAGAGTAGGGAAGAGAAGAGAGAGCTGTTATATCTCCCAAAATTACTAAACTAAAACCAAATTGTATACTTATACAGCAACCATAGCTTACCTCTTTATCTGTGAGTTTTGAATGTGGAGGATATATTACCTACAGGAAAAAAGTATTATTTTATTTGAAAATAAACTAGGTATAAGCAGTAAGCTTCTATTAAATATTTTTATAATACAACCCTCAAATACCTGCCTAGCCTTTGGCTATTTTCAGTGGTAAACTATTAATATTATATCTCTGTTCTTATTTTTCATATGCTTTTAAGCTAACTTGATCACTCATCTTTACAAGGTGTTTTGGGTGCCACTTGGAGACCATACAGATACATTAAATCACTCATCTTTACAAGGTGTTTTGGGTGCCACCATACAGATACAAAATTCAAAGTACTTGAGGTTTTTGGTGCAATAGGGCTCAAAGGAGAGCAAGATTACAACCTTTAGATTTAACTTGTACATAGAAAATTCAGATGATCCCATAAAAAGCCAACAACACATTATTGTCTGAAATCTCTTGCAATGGATAGCTAGGTGGAAGTAATCAAAATTCAATCACAAAACACCCTCTATATTAACACTAACTCTTGGAGGATGAACATTGGCCTCACATGAGAGCTGTGAACTGTGAAAGCTCAATGGAAAAAAAAAAAGATTACTTTTGTACTGACAGAAGAAAAGTACATTGATTTGATACGTTTTTACAATGCAGAAATCAAAGCCAATACAACACAATGTAAGATATGGAAGCACCGTCATTTAAAAAAAATCTGAATGTACAAAATTGGTGATTAGGCAAGTGAGAAAAAAACATACAGGGAAGAGGACAAACCCGAGATACTTGAATTCCAGCTAAAAAGTTCCTCAAAAAAACCCCCCTCAAAACTACTGAAATGGCTGGCTAGCTTCTAAGGCAAAGGAAATTCAATATGAATTCAAAGATTACGTTCCAAAGAAAGCTTCGGTGCTTTCATAGATGGGAACTTCTCTAAGAACAGAATGATGCGGTGATAGTGAAAGTAAGAACAGCCCAGGTGAAGTTTTACCAGATTTCAGAGTGTCCTGAACAACCTTACTAAGGAAATCCAAATGGCAAAGAGCATGAACACCATTCCTTTGAGCTACTGCTATGCCTGCTGTTCATCACTAGAAGATGTTGAAGACGAAGCCACCTACCAAAAGCACAGAAGCAAAGGGGAAAAGACAAGACTGCAAGGGAGACACAAAGAAGCAGAATTAGTGGAGACCATCACTTCCTCGTTTCTAAACGTTTGGCTCCATAATCTAACTGTCCTTTACATGTACTTTATTTCCCCCCAGAAATAATAATCTAACTTGCTGGACAGGAAACAAAACAAAAAAGCCTAGTAAGCTTCCACCTAATAGGTGAAAGAAAATTAACTTGAAAAGTGTGGTTCTTGGAGGAAATGTAACTTTGGTAATTACTTGGGAAGTCTTCCCCTCAAACACAGCCATAAGAACTTTCTTCTAGAATTGCAGATTTGGGCAAGGAGCTGCTTCCTTCCACCTAAGGAGTTTCCAAGAAAGGAATAAACATCAGCTTTTCTCTGTGTGTGTGCAACAATACAAATGCTTGCTTTGCATTTCCCTGTCTTTTAATATTCCGTACTGTTAAGTAACCTAATTGTTAAGGATTCCAGTGAAATGAAAAGCTAATTATTCTTCCTGCAGCAACCAAAAAAACTCAGGCCTTAGTTATGTCGACATTTCGTTTTGCGTGTCCATTTAACTAAAGTTAATGGAACTGTTAACAGAGTTGTTTGCAAACAGGACAGAGGCTACTCTGTGCTCTCCTCAGCCACCAAGCGCATCATCTGCTTAAGTCACAAGTTATAAAAAAATTCTTGTCTTTGTTGCTAACATCACCTTGTAACATCAAGCAACTATAACTTAGATAATTATCACGGTATGCTGGTTTCTTATTTGCATTTCTCTTGCAGCCAACAATGCACACCGATTAATGTTTTAAATATTGTAATAGCTAGCTTAGTTGAATTTTAGGCCAGTCTGCCATACATTTATGCTAACACCACTTCAACAACAAAAAAGAAAGAAAGAAAGAGACATTTCTCCCTGAACACCAACTGTTTGCTGCACAGTCATATGGAGAATATGGTGAAACAGGATGTGAAACTGATCCTAACAATAATTATTCTTTCTAGTTTATTTTTCAGCCAAATCAGTTCCCTAATGCAGTTCCACCATGCAATTTCATAGATGTTTGCCTGTTGCACAAAATGTCAAGGAGCAGCAGGGAATTAAAAAAACCCGCAGTTTGTGGCAGTGTCATGAACCCATCGTCAGTTTGCCATTCATTTAAGGGTGCAAGGAAAACGCTTCAAACGTTTAGATAATTTATTTGCACACCTTAGCGATCTGGAGAAAACTGTTAATTATGACGGTCACTTGCATTCACGCTACTGTTACACTCTTAAAACCTTCAACGTCCAGATGCCGCGGAAATTAGCGCTATTCGTACACGGAGCAAGCTGATGATGCATTTAATAGGAACCTTGGCACGAGATGAAAACCGTTCACAACGGCGCCGGGCCGCGGCGACCAGCACAATACAACCCGGTGCTTCAGAAGAGCTAACCTCACCTCGGGCTCCGTGACAGCCGTCGCCGGCAGCAGCGTTCCCACACCACCACCGCTCCCGCCCGCTCTCT